TCAGACTCAGCGCTGGCGCGGCCGAGGGGGCCCACAAAATGCGACCGCCGAACGAGGCCGAGGATAGGGGCAGATGGGCAGCTTTACTAAGGCAGAGGTTCACGAACTCTGCTCATCGTTTCGAAAGGTTTATGCAGTTGGTTCAGCGCGCTGCGAAGGGAGCTTCTGCCAACGCTCTCAGGTCGTCACTTCAAGAGTTCAACGAATGGATTATCACACCAGCCGCAGCCCGTGCGATTCAGAAGGGTGTCGAAGGCACGCCAGATATTCAAGAGGAGCTGGCAATAGACGGCGAAACACGTTTTCCAACCTCGGGACGTGGTCGACGTCAAGGCCATCAGATGGCATGAGCTATGGCGTGATCCATAATTCGACATCAATGAGGTGATGGTCTCTTCTGCTGATATTCGTGAGTGGGCACGGGCGCACGGAGTACCTCCCATCGATAGCAGTGAAGCCAAGGAGGCCACCTCAGATATGAAGACGAAAACTGGCATGGGTATTGATCTATGGACCCGGCTGGATGTCCAAATATTACCGCCAGAAGGGCATGAGGCTTTGGTCGTCATCCTCAACGCTGTGGCGGAATGCGGGGCATGGCCCGCTCATTTGTCAGTTGTTCTAGGAAGATTGCTTACGAAAAAGGGAGGTGGAGACAAGATTATTGGATTGCTACCATTCGTCTCCCGCTTGCACACACTCGTTCGGGAGCAATGTGTCAAACGGTGGTCGTCCTATGCGCCTACCGACTGGAACGCTGCCATCGAAGTGAATGCCGCTCTCCAGGAGGCGTTCCCCAAGGCAATCGACAAGGAGCTCTTCGTGAAGATGGGAGTTTCTCACGGGCGTGCTTCATTGGACAACAAGCCCTTGTGCGACGTGAGAAGGTGGTCTATGTTTTAAAATGCAGCAGTGTCATCTTACTCACTACATTCTCGAGCAGCTGTGCTCAGCGGCGGTGAACAACAACAACAACAACAACAACAACAACAACAACAACAACAACAACAACAACAATTACTAGCACGTGGGGACACTCCGTTCTCACCAGTGCCAGGGTTTTCATAGGAGGCGGGCAATACCCCCACTTTGTGGGGGGGCCGGTTCAAGCTCTACCAAATTTCCAAACGACTCTTCGCCACCACCCACACCCAGCTTCCCGCCCTATGACGTTCGGACACTTCACTTCGTGGCATGCGGACGACCGTGGCTACTATTCAGGGCCCCGCGGCCGACGACGACGGCGTGCGCGCGCGAAGAAAAAACGAATGTGTCCCGCATGGTATTATTTGACAGGGATGATGGCCCTGGCAGGTGCGCAACCGTTGTTGCAGAAGTTCGAAAAAGTTGCTCGCAAAAGCCCGTTTGACAGAAATGTTTAAAAAGTGTTGGGTTTCCTACGAATCCGCAAGAGCGCGCGGGATGAAATTTTGACAAAAACCATTGGTTTTTTGATGTTTTTATGTTAAAATCGCTACGAAAACTAAGGTTTTGGAAGGATTTCGTCTTGCGCGCGCGAATGTCCACTTTACCTGATTTTTTGCAAGGGATTCTTGAAGTTTGGTTATGTTAGAACAAGAAATGTCCACTTTAGCTTATTTTTTGCCAGGGAAAGCGGGCGTCAACAAAACAACCGGATCTGGTACACATCGTTTTGCCTGAGACTTCCTCACGAAAATGATGAAAATGAGGCTGCGGCCTAGGCGCGGCGAGGGGGGCGTGCACCAGGGGGCCCAACAATAATTATTCTTTAGAAGTAATAATATTCAACAACAACACGAGGACTTCGGCGGATGACTAATATCTAGGACATGTTGGTTCACGCGCGGCCGCGCGAAAGTCCTTGGTCGATGGCGCCGCTAAGGTCAGAAACAGCCTGCCGTGCGAGGGGCTCAAGTTAGCTCCCAGGAGCGTGGTTCTCTGCGACACGATGGGCGACGCCAAGCGTATCTCTGCAGTTTTGCGGAATAGAAGCATGGAGATGCAGGCGGCGCTGCAATGAGTCACCTCGGAATCGATCTCGGGGGGTGGGCGGCGCGTAGCACGCTCTTCGAGGCAGAAGCGGGTCAAGAAAGCGGCTGGCAACAACAAGAAGCTCCGACGACACGCGTTCGCGTCCAAGTGCTACGTTGCCACCAAAAAGATGGCCACACAGAAATAATATCGATGGCCCACAGGCAGGGGCTACATATTCTCACCAAGGTCACAACATATTCGGCAGCCATTTGCAGCAGTTACGCCGACAGCTCGGATCAGTATATGATGCACTCCGAAGAGGAAGGTTCCTCAAGACGCTGTTGGACCTGCACACGCCAGGACAACACCCTGGGGCTAGGCTACCACGACTATGCCTACATCAGTAGCTGAGAACCTGGGTAGACGATCCCAACATGCGGGCAGGTATTCGGCGAGCTTGGAGCCGTTCAATGCAATACATCAAGGAGAGCTCGGCACGTGCACGGCATCTCGGCGGTGAGTACCTACCTAGTGAATGAATGCAGGGTGGGATCCCAAGTCGCCGTCGCATCGGTGCCGATCCGACGAGCTTGAGTTGGAACCAGTGGATTGGGCATTTCCTGATAGCAGCATCGATTCGAAATTCGTCGATAAGGATGGTATTCCTGATGCTTGTGGGATGATGTTGGGTATTCAACAATCAGAGCGGTTTGGACCTAGGAGCCGACAACGATTCTTTCAGAAGGCTGCTTATAAGATTCAAGAGCGGGCCACACCTAGCTGGCAGAACTCATGTTGACGACTTTTACTGGTGGCTGCTTGACCCGACTGAGGAAGCATGCAGTCGGATTGTGCTTCCCCTCTCTCTGCTTGAGAGTCAAGAAAGCACAAGAGGATATTCGACATCGCGGGTGGTTGTGCCAGGCCAACAGCGACGCGATGACCTACCAGCATTATGAATCACTTGTAACCGCTGCATTGGCAAAAGGTGAAGCTGGTAGTTGTATCTTGTACCGAGGACGTACACGAAGGCATACGACCCAGGCACCAACACCATGCAGAGATGACGCATATGGACTTGCACCAGCACCGGGTGCGAAGAGCTGGTGCCAGGACGTTTTGGTCAAGGTACGATGGAGCAGCCTCTGCCCATTTTCGGCGACGCATGAGGAGGACCTGACCGTCGATTCCCAGCGTTGCGGAGAGTTGGCATGGGTCTTCGTGTCAAGCTCGACCCGCCGTCAATGCAAATTGGCCCCCTGGTGGTTGGACCATATGGCAGGGCAAACCCAGACAGCTCCACGTGACGAACTCAGAGCAGACCTGGGTCGAGCGGGCCCAGGGTGTTCATCACAGGTGATGAGAATGTGTGTGTAGCGAGTTGAACTAAATGTGGGCGGAGACTGGCACACTCACATCGCGACTCGGGATGTTGGTGACATCGTTGTGTTGCAGAGACCGTCACATCTTCCTGCAGACGAGGCCGCGAGCAGGAGCACTGCGCCTTGGCTTCTCCACTGTGACGTCGTAGTTGACGCTTCAGCCGAGGGAGCCGCCGAACGGTGCAGGGCCCCTAAAGGCTGTCAGAGCTCGTATCGCCGAGGCAGGAAAAGGGAGGGTCTCTTCGATTCGGAGGCGGCTTCTGAGGGCCACGCTGGCGGCCGCTGCGGCCGAGCAGCAATGCGAAGATCACTGCGCTCGAGTCCGCTACGGCGGCATCTTCGGCCCCCGCGCCTCCCCCCTCCCCCCCATCGGCGGCAGCTAGGTCTAATTCCTCTCACCAGCTCAGCGAATGCGTGTTTCAATACACCATTTGTCATGGCAGCGGCACCAAGCTCACCCTGCAAGAGTCGCTTAATTCACCCTGCCGCCCGCTAGAACACATCGATGCTAAAATCTCCTGGGAGCCTAAAGGGCGTAAACTGCACTTAGCTGGGGGGTGGGCCGGTGGGCTCACGGATCCCACGTCATGGTTTACAGTCACGCACCCGGAGTCTGGATCTGTGGGGCTTGCGGTTTTTTCTTCACGGCCAGCCGTCGAGCGGAGCACAGGAACGTGTGTCTCGGTTCCCAGTCCCTCAGTGTCACCAGGAGGTCATACCTGATTAGTTTTGATCGGGGGATTGCACCTATGGCTCTGAGTGCGGCCGAGCGGTCAGCACGTCAGCAAATCTAAGCGTAGTTAGTTCACATTACTTGACATCATCATGTAGCTGCTCCTATTCCTATTCCTCCTTCTCCTCCTCGTCCTCCTCCTCATCTTCATCCTCATTATCATCCTTATCCTCCTCCTCGTCCTGCTCCTCCTCCCCATCATCATCATCATAATCATAATAATCATCATCATCATCATCATCATCATCATCACCACAATCCTCATCTTCCCCACCACCATCCTCATCACCACCACCATCAACATCATCATCCTCCTGATCATCAGTATCATCATCAGCATCATCATCAGCATCATCATCATAATCAGCATCATCATCAGCATCATCAGCATCTTCATGTTAATCATCATAAACATCACCATCATCACTACAACCATCATCATCACCATCATCACCATCATAACCACCACCACCATCATCATCACCACCAACACCATCATCATCAGCACCATCATCATCCTCATCCTCCTCCTCCTCATCATCATCAGCAACATGATCGTCACCATCATCATCACCGTCATCATCAGCATCATCAGTATCATCATCTGCACCAGCATCAGCATCATCATCATCAGAATCATCATCACCATCACCATCATCACCATCATCAGCATCATCATCAGCATCATCATTATCATAGTCATCAGCATCATCAACGTCTTGATCATCATCATCATCATCATCATCATCATCATCATCATCAGCATCATCATCATCTTCTCATCATCATCATCATCACCATCATCTTCGTATTCTCTCCATCAGCAGCAGCATCATCACCATCATGATCAACACAATCATTCCACGCCCTCCTCCTCGTCATCCTGCACCTGTTTTCTCCATGCAGGACAGAAACACAACGGGTGGCTCCCGCGCACAAGTCCCGGGACGCGATGTAGCCGCGGCCCATGCCGTCCACCTCCCCGGCGGGGTCTTGCCGGAACACTTGCTCGGATAATGATGATGATGATGATGATGATGATGATGATGATGATGATGATGATGATGATGATGATGATGATGATGATGATGCTGATGCTGATGCTGATGCTGATGCTGATGATGATGATGATGATGATGATGATGATGATGATGATGATGATGATGATGATGATGATGATGATGATGATGATGATGATAATGATGAGGAGGAGGAGGGGGAGGAGGACTAGGACGAGGAGGAGGAGGAGGAGGAGGCCTCCCTCCCAGCGACTGGCTAATTAAGGAGGAGTGGAAACAGCAACAGCAGGTGGGAGGGAAAGCAGGAGGAGTCGACATCGACGATGATCACCGACGTGCCGCCCCCTGCCCTCTTCCTCGCCCGCCGCCCCTGTTTCCTCCTCCTCCTCCTCCTTCTCCTGACGGGGCCGGGGCGGGGGCCAGGGCCGGGGCCAGGGCCAGGCCTGGGGCCAGGCCTGGGGACTGCGCCGGGGCCGGAGCCAGGGCCGAGGCCGGGGCCAGGGCCCTTCCGCACGGGCTGTCTCCGCGGGCCTGCACACTGGCAGGCAGCGGCCTCTAGAGCCCAGCGCACACGAGCTGCGGCTGGCGATCCTCATCCTGCTTCTCCTGCCCCTGCTCCTTCTGCTACGGCTACTGCTGCTGCTGCTGCTGCTGCTGCTACACCTCCTCCTCCTCCTCCTCCTCCTCTTCCTCCTCCTCCTCCTCCTCCACCTCCTCCTCCTCCTCCTCCTCCTTCTCCTCCGCCTCCTCCTCCTGGTCATCGTCGTCGTCGTCCGCCTCCTTCTCCAATAACGTGCGCCACAACAAAGTGCGACCTCCTCCTCCTCCTCTTCCTCCTCCTCTTCCTGTTCTTTCTCCTCGTCCTCCTCCTCCGCTTTTTCATCCTCCTCATCCTCATTATCCTCATCCTTTTCTTCCTCTGGCCGTGGGGTCCTGGGGACATAAGACGAGTGGGCTTCCCCAACAACATCTGCAAGCGTTTTGCGAAGAAACTGCCCAATGCTCCGGTTGGTGGATCGAAGGGGCCTGCACACCACGTTACGTAATCAATTGTGCTATGAAGGATCCTGCTTCTGATTGTGCCACGAGCACCTTGCGAGAGTCCATGAAATATGCCAAGACCTGGCGCCACATGAGCGCATTAGGGTCTCGAAGGTGCGGCAGACGACCAACACTCTGTTTCAGGACGTCCCAGCCAACTGTCGCTTGAGGCGAATAAAAGGACAAGTGTTGGCCACGGTGCCTGTGCTGTTCTGTTGGATATGGGATGCACCCCTACTTCCACCCGTGAATGGGCTGAGTTTGGCTTTCCCTTCCACTTCGACTCCAAGGACTATTGGTTCAACTTGTGACAAACCCGACTGGGTATGGGGGTATGGGGGAAGGCGGCCAGCCATGACTTCGGGGGATGGGGTCCAGCTCGGGATTGACTTCGCAGTTCCCTAGAACAGTTCGATAAGACAGACAGACAGACAGACAGACAGACAGACAGACAGACAGACAGACAGACAGACAGACGGACGGACAGACATACAAACACACGGACAGACACCCAATGTCGGGCAGTGCCCGGCCCTGCGCGGGGCCTGGGGGGATGGCACCGCAGTGCATCAGATGGACTCGTACACGAAGCCGTCCTCCAGGCTCGTCCACAGCTCCATGGTGCAAGCATGTGTAATCCACACCCCGTCAGGGGTGTCATAACCAGCAGCACGCAGAACAGTTTGATGAGGAGTGTGGCAAATACCTTGACTACAAATCCCAGGCTATCTTGAGAAACGCTATGATAGGGGGATGCTGCTGAACGGCGCCGAGCCCGCTCGAGGCGGACTGTTGCTCGAGCGAGTTGTGCCAGAGTTGCGGCGCCGCGCCCAGGGCTGCAGCGCACCCCTTCTTGGCAGTGCTGGGTAAGAATGGTGAGACGGACTGTGCGGCAGTCCAGGCCGTGGCTGCTCCTCCTCCTCCTCCTCCTCCTCCTCCTCCTCCCTCCTCCCTCCTCCTCCTCCTCCCTCCTCCTCCTCCTCCCTCCTCCCTCCCCTCCTCCCTCCTCTCCTCCCTCCCTCCCCTCCTCCCTGCTCCCTGCTCCCTGCTCCCTCCTCCCTGCCCCTGCTCCCTGCTCCCTCTCTCCCCTCCCTCCTCCCTCCTCCCTCCTCCCTCCTCCCTCCTCCTCCTCCCTCCTCCTCCTCCTCCTCCTCCCCTCCTCCTCCTCCCTCCTCCCTCCTCCCCTCCTCCCTCCTCCCTCCTCCCCCTCCCTCCTCCCTCCTCCCTCCTCCCCCCTCCCTCCTCCCCCCTCCTCCCTCCTCTCTCTCCTCTCTCCTCTCTCCTCTCTCTCTCCTCCCCTCTCCTCTCTCCTCCTCCTCCTCCTCCTCCTCCTCCTCTCCTCCTCCTCCTCCTCCTCCTCCTCCTCCTCCTCTTCCTCCTCCTCCTCCCTCCTCCTCCACCTCCTCCTCCTCCTCCTCCTCCTCCTCCTCCTCCTCCTCCTCCTCCTCCCTCCCTCCCTCCCTCCCTCCCTCCCTCCTTCCCTCCCTTCCTCCCCCTCCCCTCCCTCCCTCCCTCCCTCCACCCTCCCTCCCTCCTCCCTCCCTCCCTCCCTCCCTCCTCCCTCCTCCCTCCTCCTCCTCCTCCCTCCTCCCTCCTCCTCCCTCCTCCTCCCTCCCTCCCTCCTCCCTCCCTCTCCCTCCCTCCCTCTCCTCCTCCCTCCTCCCTCCTCCTCCCCCTCCTCCCTCCTCCCTCCTCCCTCCTCCCTCCTCCCTCCTCCTCCTCCTCCTCCGTCCTCCCTCCTCCCTCCTCCAGGCCGTGGCTGGTTTGGCCACGACTTGCGATCGCTGAACAAGGTACCCTCCCGGCCCAATGGTCGAGGGGGCTCATGTCCCTCGAACAGGCTGTTAGCGGTCTCTGTGCCCCCCAGGCTTGGCAATGGGTCTATGGAGATCGCCAAGAGGCCACCGTGATCCAAAGGGAAGTTTCGAGAACCGACGGAATCGGGGGGAGGATACACAGGACTGGAGACGCAGGCGGTGTGGATTGGGGTGCTTTATGCAGCACCCGAACGAGGCCGACATTGCTCAAGGGAACTTCTGCACACACACACACACACACACACCACCGTCCTCCAGAACTCCCCGCGGTCTGAGTTGTTTGAGCTCTTGACCGTGTTGACCCTCACGGAGGGCAACTTGCTGATCCATAGCGACTGCCTGCCGTGCCTGCCTGTCGTTCGGAACTTCAGAACACCCGAGATGATGAGAAGTACAAGTTCGGTGTTGGATGTTTGGACGTGCATTTGGGATAGGCTTGAGGCCCGCATTGGCCATATGGATATCAGATGCACCAAATCTCACCCGACAAGCCCGACAAGGGCCCAGATGTCGTCTATGCAAGGGTCGACCGTCGAGCTCCTGTTGAACCGATCTGCGGACATATGTGGGAATGCAGATGCGAGGCAGGAGCAAGCCCCTCTGGATGAAGCTGAGAGGGTTACCCAAGCCGATAACATGCAGGATGCTGTTATGTTGCGTTTACGTGCGATTCGCCGTAAACTGTTGTTGCTGCGAGATCTATGTGTGGAAGAATCTGAACACGCGTGAGGGGCTCTGCCAGATTAGGAAGCTCCCTGGAATCGCCTCTAGACAGGCTCGTCCGATGATGTCGCGGAGCGGAGCGCTGTCTTTGAGTGCAGGAGGTGTTGCACACCCGTCCGTAAGAAAAGGGTTATTATGTAATTACTCGCTGCCCCCCCGCATGCGTCCCCAGATCGTCGTTCCCTCGGGCTGTGTGGAAAGAGGGGCCCTGTGACCCGTAAGGGAGACTGCCCAAGCTACCAGTGAAGGTGGCGAAACTGCAAGAGCCTTCTGTGTGGACAGTCCTCGGAAGCCGAAGGACATCCGTAGGTCACCCTTGGTTTAAGGGCTTGAGGCTTTATCCATATTGCCCCGAGAACTGCCCCCGAAGTCGGGAATGGTCTTCTCCGCGCGTGACGGACAATCTTCCTTTCAATTCCAAGCGCCCAGTCTTGCTATTGGTCACCACGTCTCTTGTTTTTCCAGAGCCGACACTGGAACTCATGTTCTTCCTCCTCCTCCTCCTCCTCCTCTTTTGCCTCCTCCTCCTCCGGAACTATTGTGGGTTCGAGCGCTCTCCACTTTTTTGGCCTGCGGCGCAGAGGGTCCCCAGGCGCGACCAGCAGATGGAAATGCGAATAGCGATCGAGCATCATCGAAGGCACGGATACAGCACGGGGAGCTCGGCCTCGCGCAGGACTTCGGGCACTGGCGGCACGGGCGGCGCCCGACTGCGCGCCCGCCTGCAGCTAGCCTCGCGTCGCAGGTGCTGCTGGCTCTTCGCCAGCCCTCCCTCCCCTCATCCCCCTCAATTTCCCTCCTTTCCCTCCTTCTCGTCCCTCCTCCTCCTCCTCCTCCTTCTCCTCCTCCTCCTCCTCCTCCTCCTCCTCATCCTCCTCCCTCGTCCCCCCACCCCCCTCCCCTCCCTGCCTCCTCCACAGAGCTTCGCGGAGGTCCGCGTGGACTTTTTGGATCGGC